GTATACTATAATTTTTACATACTTAGCCAGGTATAGTAGTACATGCCTATAATCCCAGCATTCTGAGAAGCTGAGGCAGGAGGACCACAAGTTCAAGCCCAACCTAAGCAACATAAGACTTAATGAGACCTTGTTTCAAAATAAAAAATAAAAAAGGGCTGGGATGTAGTTTAGTGCAAAGGCCTTGAGTTCAATCTCCAGTACCACAAAAATAATAGCAATAATGATGATAATGTTAAATGTTTAAAAATGAAAGTAATTATTTTTTTCCAATCAGATTTTATTGGTCCATTTTAGGTGTATATAATGATCACACTCATCACAGAGGATTTGTACCTGTACACGACACTTCTTTTTCTTCCCCCATTCCCCTACCCTCCCTTCAACCCCCTTCATCCCTCCCCATTTACAAAAGCTCTGTTTCCATTTTTTTCCTACTTTTCTCAGAAAATAATTTTATCAACAAGATCCATCTACCTCCTTACTTTCAGTGAAGCTGTGCTTAATCTATACACACTGACAGTCTACCTATTTTTAAATATTCACAGAAAAGATTAAAAGCTTGAATGCCAGTGTATAGCTACTCACAGGACTTTAAGAATAAGGAAGAAAAGCTGGGCATGGTGGCGCATGCCTGTAATCCCAGCACTGGGAAGGCTGAGGCAGGAGGATCCCTGTGCGTTCGAGGCCAGCCTGGGCTATAAAGTGAGCTCAAGGCCAGCCTGAACTGCACAGCGAGACCCTGTCTCAAAAAGACCAAAAAAAAGAATATGGAAGAAAAATTTGGCTGGAATAAATGAAAGTCACTTGTATCTGTACTTCCCCCCAAAATAAAAAAAATGTCTAATGTCTAAATCTGGCTTTGAGGTCAACTATGGGATGGAAACTAATTGGTACTAATATGCACACAGCAATGAGCCAGGTGCCCAACACAGTTTGATGCATCTTATTAATCAACTTGAAGAGGTGGGTTACTAGAATGAATCAGGACGGATAAATGTTCGGGATGCACAATAATTAAGGAGCCAACAGAATTTTCTGAATGCCTTACCGCCATGGGTCCTGATACTAAACCAAATCAATCAATACTTAGGGTAAAGCAAAAGTTACTTCACACAACATGAGAGGCGTAAGTAATGAAGTTGGAATCAAAGAGCAAGGAATACAAGTTTTCTTTTACCACATAAGTTAGCATATATAACAAACGATTTTATATGGAACTAACCATGTCATCTTAGTTTTCTTCTGTCTCACGCTGAATATAAATTGCTCCACCTAACCTGCCCTCCTAATCTGCACCGATCTCTACCTATCTTCCACAGATGTATGTAATTTTAACCTCCCTGAGGGTAGGGTCAGACTGAGATAGCTCTACAATGACAAAGGTATTATACATTGAATTCCAGTCTGGGGTGACCCTGAGCAACCAAACTTGGATCCTGAGATCATTATGAGGCCAACTGTACTATGTCAAGTACATAATTACTCTGATCTCCTTGGTATCTCTCTAAACAGAGATGATCAGCCTGGACTATAGAAGAGATGGGACTGACATCAGCACCCCTCACCACACCTAACACAGATATAAGTGCCAAATATGCTGTAAGAATATGTGGGTATTCTAGAAAATCTGCCTTCTGAAAAGCAAGTTCTTGCCTCTTAAAATAACCCAGTAATTTGGTAGATAATGTCAGTAAAGCCTGGATATGGGCCTAGCACTCAAGACCATAAGATTAAGGATACCAAAATAGGTAATAACGAGCAATCTTTACTAAATAAAAGAAATGTTAAAAGGCCTCGTCAAATTATTAACATACACACTCCTTCTTTATAATGTATACATACAAACAAAATTTCTTTGTGAGCAAACACATGCTTTCCGGGTTATATAATCAGATTAACCCCTTTTTTCATTGAGGACTCTAGGCCCCTAAATGTAGTTAGTCTACCTCAGGCTTCCAGGAGAACTGGTCTAACTTTTCAGATAGTTCTTATCCCAGTCTCTGTCAAGTGTTATTAATAGGCCTCCTGGAGCTTGTTATCTTTCACTCAAACACCTCATGGCCTCTGCAAAAGCTGCCAAGAAAGAAAAGTCTCTAAGTCAGATGTAGCATTAAGGCACTAAGATCTGCAGTACAAACGGGCTACTGTGATTTTGTGAGACAAGGAGAAAATTGTTCCCCAATATTACATGGGTGTTTCTTTCAATATACCACCATAATAATCAACAGTTGGTCAAGTGGTCATGGCTAAAACAAAGGAGAGAAAGGCAGCAATCATTCAGATAATGCACATCATGCTTATATAACAGACAAATATTTCTCAGATACCTGTACTATTCACTGTCCATTTCACAGAGGGGGAAATCAGTAACATAGGCAACTCAGCTATTGGCAGTGCCAGTTTTACATTTTAAAAATAATCTTTACATACTTAAGAGTTCTTCAGTTCTTCTTGGAAAAACACATTGTAACTCTTTATAAACTGACTTGTAGAACAGTTCCTAAGCCAATAAAAAGCCCCTTGTCTTGATTCAAAGAGACTGCTTCTCAACAGAAGGTTGTTTTGACCTCCAATCTTTGAGCAACTTAATCTGCTACATTTGTCTAGTTTTGAGTATACCTATTAAACTCATTGCCAGCTGTGTTAATGTGAAGGAGTACCTCTACTGTATCTGTAGATGATAAAAAAAGAAAATCCATAGCTGTCAGCCCATTCCTTTCATTCTATTTCAAGAGAATATTAAACATAAAAAGTGTACATCACAGTTGGGCACGATAAAGAAGAACAAAGGAAAGATGCCAAGGTGGTCATCTCAGGAGAAAGGCTCAGAAAAGCTGTCACCTTAAATGGGAAGAAGACCTACCATGAGTGAGCTCAAAGAATGTTTTTCTGACATTAAAATGTACATGGGAAGAACCAGACTTAACTAGCAGAGTCACTCTAAAAGAAACAAGGCCACTGAGTGACACTAAGAAAACAGTGCTCTCACCCAATGCTTTTTTTTTTTTTTTTCCAGTACCAGGAATTGAAGTTGAGACCTCACGCTTGCCAGGCAGGCTCTGTGCCGCTGAGCTAAATCCCCAGCCCCTCACCCAATGTTAATTCCCGGAAAAGGATAGATGGACTAGAAAACTGGATTACATTTCTCTATCTTCTATGATCCCATAAAATCATTTCCAGAATTCAAATCTCAATCTTCTTTCTGTCCTGGATACTTTTGAACAATAAAAATTTGCCTGGTAGGGCTGGGGATTTAGCTCAGCGGCAAAGCGCCTGCCTGGCAAGCGCAAGGTCGTGAGTTCGGTTCCTGGTACCGGAGAAAAACCAAAAAAAAAAAAAAATTTGCCTGGTAAAGAGTTCAGAAACTTTAAGAAACTTTAAGAAAGTTTAAATTTTAATTGAAATTTCACATGCCAGGCCCAATGGCACATGCCTGTATCCCAGCTACTCTGCAGGCTGAGACAAGAGGATAGCAAACTGGAGGCCAGCCAGCAAACTAGGCAAGACCCTGTCTCAAAAAAAAATTATTTTCAATAAAATAAATTTTAAAAATTAAAAAAAGCGTAGAAATGTAGCTCAGTGGTAGCATGCCCCTAGGATCAATCCTCAGCACTGTAAAAGAATTGTAACTTAATGTGGTTCTCTTGGCCTCTGTCTTATTTTATACTCAGCTCCTTATTCAGTGGGACATACAGCGCTGCAACATAGATCTGAGAACAACCACACTTTTATAGGCAATTTCTCTCCTAACTTTGCACAAGTAACAATTTTTCTGAGCTTCAGTGTCCTCAGCTGTAAAATGGAAATAAAAACATTACCTGCCACATCTACTTCAGAAGATCAGTACTGAGACATGAGGTAATAAATATAAAATTATTTTTAAACGACAAAGTACTTAACAGATATTGGCTGCTGCCTTCAGTGAGGCACTGTAGGAGCAGGAAAAAAAGTGGATAAAAATAGGATGAAAAGAGAGGCTTCTTTCACCGAATAGAGAAGGGATGGAAACGTGGTGCAGCATTTTAAGCTACGGGCTAAATATTTTTAGGGAAGTGACTTAATATAAGTTGAAGTATTTAGAAGCGGATTCTCATGTGAACACATTCACTTTGCATGAAAGGCAAAAGAAAAGTAACTGATGAAGTTCAGTGGGGTGGAGAGGGTGAAGTTAGCTATGACAGTCAATACAGACAGAATATAGTTGCATAAGTGAAAGAAATAAAGGTGATATTACCAAACACAGAACTACCGGATCATCAACAATCCACATACTATAGCTATATACAGTGGCTTCTACAGGGGACTTTAGAAAAAGAAAGGCCACTCCACAGGTATCAGACATAAGTGATTCAGTAGCTTAGTTCTCCACAGGAAACCCTGAGGGAGGCAGTATTGTTGGTAAGAAAATAAGACACTCACAGAGAGGTCAAGGGTGTTCTAAGAGCTGTAGCCTGGAGAAGATACGAACTGTTTTTGAAGCACTGCAAATCAGCAAAACAAAAGGAGTAGTTTCAGAACATCCGCTTGCCTTAACCCAATCTGTAGAGCTTTACTCTATAAATGATCTAAGATACTCGATATTGGGGCCACAGCAGCAGAAAACTGAATTTGCGCAAAGGCCATCAGGCAAATGATACTATGCATAGGAATGGCATGATGTACAGGCACACCAACGGGGCAGAAGTGAAGATGACTAATCTATAGGAAAAACATCGAGGACCAAATCACCAGTAACCATGACAACTCAAGTAGGTGGAGGGAAATACAAACACTGACCAGGCATCTGGGTGACACTATTCTTTCAGGTAAAGACCCTGGGGTCGGGAAAGACTTGATTAGTCGAAGAAGGTGTCCAACAATGAAAGCGAGTTGACCAAAGGGGCTGTCTCCACGCAAGAGGGCCCCGCGGTGACACTAGTACGCTTCGCCTGGAGGACCGTAAGTCACAGGCTCAACCGTAAGAGTCTGGACGCCTATAAGACCGAAAAGGGAGTTACCTGGTGCAGGGCTGTCAAGCCGTCCACGTTGACTGTGTTGATGTCGGCCCCTCTGGCCAGAAGCTTTTTTACCTCTTCGGTGTCTCCGCTGGAACAGGCGGCCAGAAAGACAGCGCCGTCCTCGAAGCGGACCCTGGGACTCCCGCGCGTCTGCGTCTGTCGCCCGGCGCCTCGTCGCTCTGCGGGCTCCTGCTCCGTCAGCGAGCCCCGCCAGCGCCGCAGCTGCTCAGCCCGCCGCATTCGCGCGGACTCTGCCCGCTTTCCGCCCAGGTGCTCCAGCTCCGCCATGGTTCTGGTCCCCTGAAGCTGCTGCTGAAACTACTATTACTAGACTGCTGGTGCGACTTGGGTTGCCGCTGCCGCCTCTCTCAGAGCGCTTCAGCCAGGAGCAGAAGGCGGAGACCTCCACACCGCCATCTTTACTCTTCCCGCCACTAGCACCGCCCGCACGCTCCCTCGGCTTCAACACGTTAGCACTGCCCGGGCCGCGGGTCATCACGGGACTTGTAGTAAGCCACCTGCCCTGGGAGCACTCCTGAGCTATGAGAGAACTACATATCCCTGGATGAATCAGAAAGGAGGCGAGGACAGACTGCTCGGTTCTTCTCCGCCAGACACCTCGGTGTCAGCTTTGCCCCGAAGTTGGAAGTGTCATTCGGAGTAGCGTCAGCCTCTTCCTTAGGGCATGTTGGGAATCGTAGTTTACTCTGGTTATGAGTACTAACTAATTTTGGCTCCATAATTATCATATCACACTTTTGGAGTGGAAAAAGGGCAATAACATTCCCTATTTTCTAGTGGGGAGAACTAGACATAGAATACAAGATAGACTCAAATTCATGTCCTGGTTCTAAATCTAGGATTACATTGGCATGTACTAATCACAGTAAATGCTAATGTGTATGAATAGGAGAAGTATGCATACACAAATAGTATTACACGTTTTACATAAATAATTTTCAACATAATTTTACTCTAGGTTCCAAAAAGCTATCTCGGAAACGATGCATTCAGGTGTAATAGAAAAAGCTTAAGTTTTGAATTCAAATTAAATTCACATGTGTAAACAAATTACTTGACTTCTTAATGACCTATTTCCTCTGCATAATATAAGAATAATGCTTCATAGGGTAGTCGTGTGGATCAAATGTGCTAATAAATGCAAGAATGCCTTGTGCTATCCCTGGCACATACCAGCTAGCAACAAATATGAATTTTCATTCTCTCTCCCTCTTCCTCTTCTACTCTTTTCATGGATCTTAAATTATTATGACATAGAATGGATGTTTTTATCCACGCTCTTTTTATCAAATCCACAGAAAGAAAACTATGGAACATCTTAAACTCCTAAGGAAGAAAATGGAATATTTTTATGTTTGATATAAATTTAGTTATAAAACCTATGTGTATCTGATTGATTTAATAACTATACTGTCTAGGGTCTTAACTCTGTTTTTTGTTTTTTGTTTTTTGGTTTTTTTTGGTTTTTTTCTCCGGTACTCAGGAACCGAACTCACGACCTTGCGCTTGCCAGGCAGGCGCTTTTGCCGCTGAGCTAAATCCCCAGCCCTAGGGTCTTAACTCTGGACAAAATATAATTAAATGTGCTATCCATAGTGAAAGAAAACATATATGTATATTAGGTTCTTTAACAGAGACTGCCTGGCAAGTCTGAGGCCCTGAATTCAAGTCCAGGTACCAAAGAAAAGAAAAGAAAAGAAAAGAAAAGAAAAGAAAAGAAAAGAAAAGAAAAGAAAAGAAAATATGTTCTTTAATCTTTTCTGCATGTTTGAATTTTTTCATCAAAAATGATGAAAAAATAATTGGAACATTGAAAAAGGAAATTTTATTATACTCTATCATGTGAACTTTACCTGTTCCTCAGTTTCCCTGAAATGAACTGGGACTTATACACTGAATAAATAAATAAATAAACAAATGAATGAAAATACAAAATATCAGTTGAATAATACTAAGCCTATCCACCATATGCTTTAAGTTGGGTATTCTTGAATACCTTACAAATATTAGTTGTATTTCAGTATCTTATATAATATGTAACAATGTGCATAAAATAATATTTTATATAACCTTTTTTCTTTTATTCATGTATTTACAGTTACTATAGAACTTGTTTCTCATAATTACTTTCTGACCTGTCAACATGGGAACTTTTCTTACTCCAATTTAACTTCTTCTTGACAATCAAAATTGCACACAAGCTCCCAAATAGAATTCTCCCTAAATTATAAAAAGAAATTGATATTAAATCAGATAGGAAAGAACACTTAGCTGTAAGCTTAACCTTCTTTGCAATCTTCACGCACCAGTTTAATATTCTGTTCATGCAGATATATATATATATAATATATATATATTTAACTTCATATTTTACTGACATAACTGTCTTCTAGTGAGGATCTTTTTAAACAGGATAAAAATTTCAGTGACCAATGATATTACATTTCTTTTGGCAGTTCTGTACACTATTCTTTTTGTGTTCAGAAACCAGAATACCTGGTTCGGATTGTATAAATAAGCCAAAATTTGCCAAATCCAAATTAAATTGTGACTTTCCCAAGAGACATGATCTTAAATTTCAACAAGAAGACCTCAGTCTCAATATTAAGAAGTTGTAGGAAGCAGGAAATATTTCCTATTGTATTTGCTTGTTTCTTCTACCATTTTTTTTTCCTGTGGTGGTAAGAGTATAAAACCCCACTTAGAGACTTTACAGAAAAATGTAAATAGTTAAGTGCCTTGGATAATCTAAGTCCATACTTTTCTGGAAGAAAAGAAATATATCTTTCAGCTGCAATTGCTAAAAGCACTAATCATTATTATAATCTAATTTAACTGGGGCAGCCAAAAAATTATACCACAAGAACATCATTCTTTGTGTGATAATTTGAAGTTGTCTTCGAAATTAAAATCATGTAGCCTGTCATGATGGCACTCACCTGTAATTCCAGCACTCTGGGATACTAAGGCAGGAGATTTCCAAGTTTTGAGCAACTTATGACTTAGTGACTCAAAATAAAAAATTTTTATCCTGTTTAAAAAGATCCTCACTAGAAGACAGTTATGTCAGTAAAATATGAAATTTTCTCAAAATAAAAAATTTTTAAAAAGCCTGGGGATGTAGCTCAATGCTAAGGTCCTGGGTTTTACATCATGTAAAATATCTTCCGCTAACCAGGACTCTTTAAGAATAAACTTATAGGATCATTTTATTAAGCAAGTGGGATAGTAAATAATCTAAAGAAAATATTCTCACATACAAGTGTCTATTTTCCATAGACACACTTTTAAAGTAAACTATAATAGGAAATATTTCATTTCTAAAAATAATGACACCTGTAGACAGTTACACTTTTCATTCCAGCCTCTGTTCTCATCAGTGAACATTACCTCCCTCTGGTGGACAAATAGAAACTGTATACTTAGCATGCCTCCTTTCTTTCCCTTTCTCTTTTTCCTTTTATTTTTCTATTTCCCTCCCTTGTTCTTTCCTCCCCGCTCCCCTCTCCTGTTACTTTCTCTTTTATTTTCCCTTCCATACTACATAGTTGCTAGTTTTATACAGATTCCTTTCCAGAAAACTGAATATAATTTGTACTTTTTCTAAGAGACTTTGAAAAGAACTGTTTTTTCAGAACCACCCAGGAAAGTAATCAATTTCAGTTGTGAAAACATATTTGTAATTGAGAGACAATTACTGTTGAGGTAGAAAGAAAGAAATAAAACAAGAGGGGCTGGGGATTTAGCTCAGCGGCAAAAGCGCCTGCCTGGCAAGCGCAAAGTCGTGAGTTCGGTTCCTGGTACCGGAGAAAAACCAAAAAA